GCAAAGAATGGTGAAGCAAGACATAAATCATCCCAAACAATTTGTTTTTACAAAAACATTTATACATGTACAATCAAGATTTCTTAGTTTCACATTTAAGGCGGGCTCATAGCCTCATAGCATGCCCCCCTGCTATTTACACTCATCGGTGCAAATATTAGACAGTGTGAAGGAAATTAGTCTGCATCATTATCAGTTTTAATTAAAACAGTCAATATTTAAGAACAATAATGTGGTTTAACTTTTAACACTCATTTCTTGCACACTTGCTCTTCTCCTACCACACACGGAGTAAATAATTTAATATGGGTTTAATTTGTAAGGACAGGTGCTATTGCAGATGAATGAGTTGCAATGTTGCATTATTAAAAAAATACATCTAATAATAATAATAACAATAACAATTGAAAATTATGAAGATAGAAATCGAGAGAAGTAACTATTAGGGCAGCCACGGTGTTGGTTTTGGAACCAGACTGGACCTGACCGAAATCACACGGGTTTTTACTCGAGTATCGCACCGGACCCGCATTCCGAGTAGGTAGAACTAGGTCAGTAATAGGGCGGGTGGTGGTTCTGGTTCTCTATGATTACCCAGTTCAATTTTTGTTTGTGTTTTTTGTTCTCACCAACTTTTTAGAAGAGTGCATGTTGATGTATTTATACTAGTAATAAATGCATCAATCATGAAAAAATGTAATATTCGTCCTCCTATTATGTATAAATATTTAACTAAACCCCCGTACTTTAAAAACACCCAGTTGAACCCTTGACCTCTTAAAAAACGCTCAAGTGGGCACCTGCGTGGGATTTATTTTTCTTTTCCTTTTTTTTTTGTTTTTCATTTCTTTTTCTCGTTCATTTTCTCTTTTCCTTTTCTCTTCCCTCTTTCTTTCTTTTATGCTGGCCATCCACCTACTTCCTAGTGTCACTATCGCCCACCACACTTGTGCCGCCACCCAACACACTTCATTGCCCAGCGGTATCACCCAACTGGCGGCCACCACACCTACGGCGCTGCCACTGCCGACATTTCCTTCGACATGTACGCCGTCGACAACTCATTCAGCCAACCGCATGTTCATCGAGAAAGACGCCTGTAGATCTAGCTTCACGCCTTCACCTCATTGTCTTATGAACTTGTCCCCGTCGATCCAGGTTGAGGCATTCATCTTCCAATCGTTTCGTCGTCTATCAAAAATCTCTTACAGGGGAGGGACAACGCCACCCAAACTACAGCTCCAGGTCTCTCCATGGCGTCAACAGCAATGGTGTCCCCGGTGATGGTGGCCGCAGTTCCTAGAGATGGCGGCAACACCATGAAATCCTACAATAGAGCTTCTCACCAATGTTGGGCTATGGCAAGATAATAATATCTCTCTCTAAAAATAACATAAGAACATGAGAAAGATAAAAAGGATGAAAAGATAAAAGCAAACTAAAAGTGAAAAATTCTGATGGAGTTTTCAAGTGACTTTTCATAATCCTTGGGAAAATTCTATTAGAATTTTCAGACAATAAGCGGCGATTTCTGCTAGCAGCCGCCACCAGGTGTTGTTGGAGAAGGCAATGAGATAGGGGCACAAGTGGGATAGATGGTGATTGTTTCTTACCCATACGTGTCTGACTAAATTTCGGGGTTTTAGGATGTTTTTATTTGGACTGTTTTCAGTCCTAGATCAGACCAAACCAGACCAGATTGGGATAATTATAAAATACACAGAGATCAGACATTTCTCAGACCAGACCAATTCAGATTAAATCAGACCAGACCAAGCCAAAAAAATTCAGTTCAAGTAAAAACAATTTTAAACACTAGAAGTTTAAGCATAACCACATGTAAGCAACGAACAAAAGTCTACTAAAAATAGACAAAATCAAAGACATCAACTCAATGTGATAATACACATACGCCGTTAAGATATGTTTGGAGTTCAGTTTTGGAGGGGGGTGAGGCGGATTTATGACCCTCCTTTTCTTATTTGGGAGTATACAAAATTGGAGGGGGGTTTCAGATGACTTTTGTAACTCTCCACAACCTTTCAAATGTTAAACCTTTAAGTTCCCAATTGACTACTTCCACAATCTTCTACTTCCATCTCAATTGACTTGCAAAGTTAATTTTTCCTAATCAAACAGTTTCATTTTATTCACTTAATTATGACAACGATTTTTAATTATATTCTAATTTGGATCTTGCAACTCTATAGAGATTTTAATGAAGTTTCTATATATGTACATTTTAGTTATTAAAATTAATTTAATAATCAATAGGCGGGATTTAACTTTAACATAGATTGACAAAAAAATACTGACTTTGCAAATCAAGTTGGGACGAATGGAGTATATATATCTTATGCGGTTTTAATTATAAATTTTGTAACTCCTCTCTTTTCAAATTTATAACGCCCAAACAAAAACAAAGTTCTCTTTCACTTCCGCTCCCCTTCCCCTCTCTCGACTAACCTTTAAAACATTCTCATCCCTTTCCCTCCTAAACTCCTAAACACCCTTATAGCTTGTTTAATTTAAGTGTTGAAAGATATTAGTAATGAAAGTATTAGTAAGTGTTGACAAGAGCCCTTAAGGGAAGGTAAGTCTAAAAAATGAAGTTTGGGAGTGTTAAAAAAATTAAGTCCTAGTACTGAAATGTTTTCAGTTAAATAGACAATATTGTCCTCATTTAATCCTAAAAGCCATATAAATTCAAAACATGGAGGCCGACCACCATGGTTGCCGGGCACTAGAACTCCTAGTTAGCTTTTTGGAGTGTGTTTAACCATCATTTGTTAACCATGGTTGGGATTAAAATCACCACCATGGTTGCCGGCACTAGAACTCATAGTTAGCTTTTTTGCGTTTTAAACACATTTTAAACTTGTATCGTTTTTTAAACTAAAAAACACGTTTAAAAAGATAAATAATGTCGGCCTTTTAAAAAGGAAAAAACGTATACTTCCTGTATAAAATGTAATTTTCCCGTATTTCACAAAAAATAGAAATGAATTGATCAATTGAAAGAAAGCATTAAATGCATAGAAGATCAACAATAGTTTAAAAGTAAAAAATGCAAACCTCCCTTGTCCTCCCCATGACCCCGTGTTTTTGTATTGTTAGAATACAATTATTAAATACTAAACTTAATTGCAGCTAAAATTAGCATCCTAAAAGACCAAAACTTAAAATACTCCTATGTTTCTAATGTTTTGCCAAACAACCATATCAAAATTAAGGTTTTTCTGAACTTGACCTTTTTTAGTATAAACTTTTACACAAACAATAATAAGTGTACCAGTCACACAACTTTTCTCATATAAAGACAATGATTTTGACTTAATCTCATTCTATTTTTATTATGCATTATTTTTTTGACATTATTTTGCAAAATTATATCTTGGACTTAATTAATATTATCTTTGTCCCACTAAGATTGGGACAAGAAAATGTGACACGGTTATTAAGAAAAGTGGGTTCGTGTGGTTGTTATTAAATTGATGAAGTCAGAATAAAGTAAGAATGATTTAGAGCCACACAAACTTTACCAAATTTGGTATGGGACAATCGTAGTGGAATTTCCCGAAATGGTAAAAATGAGACAATCTTAACGGGGCGAAGGGAGTAATTTTATTTTTGTCATCGACTTATGAAATTATGAATTATTTTTTATGTGATGATGAGATTTGCTACTTGAATATGTGTATACTTTTATTTCTTTTTACGATATATATTATTTTGTGAAGTGTATAATTTAAATGTTCAAAATGATACCCCATATTTTTTGTCCGAATTTCTGTAACAAATACCGTATTATACACGTATACGTATTTACACGTTTTTTAAAAGTCCAGGTTTTTTTCAACGAATTTTTGAATGTATTTTTCATTCATGTTACCTAATAAAATGTATACACATTAAACCTCATTTAATTCTTGTACCGTATTTAACTAAGTACGCTAGAACTGGACTGAAGACGAGATAAACCGGCAAGCTAAGTGCAAGCCCAATCATGGAGATGGAAAAGTCGTTGTGTACACTCCCGGTTACACACCGGTGTACACAGCATAAAAAGCCCACCCCACCCTTTTTCTAACTATCTCACCCCACCCTCCTTCTGAACTAACCCGTCCCACTCCTCTTCTCCTCCCATGCGCCCTTCTCTTTCCTGTCACCCCACAAAAAAAAACTGCTACTGTGACACCGCTCCCGAAGGTCCTTGAAAATTTGATTTAAAGTTCAAAGTTTATGTATTGGATTTCTGATTCCCAAACATTTGTAAAACGATTAATGTTTTACGTAATTAATGACCGATTATTATACTGTTCGAACTCGTATATTAGTATCGGGCTTGCGAATACTCATTCTGGGCCCAACCTGCTAAAAATAGCAAGTATTCGAGAATGGCGTTCTGGATCCACTCGGGAGTGACCCACACGGCTAGTAGTCCAATAATATGTATGACAAATGTCAAATAAGTGATAGAATGATTAAAGGAGAATACAAATGCCTATAACCCCATCTTTGGCATTATTGAGCTAAATAATGGGAGTAGGATTTTCCTTCTATAATATCAATCAAGTAAATTATTGGAATGAGCCTACACATATTGGAGATCAATAATGTGATTTAGGAAGTTGACTTGTGCTAAATAAATTAGGATGAGTACAAAAAGACATCTTTGACAAAAGATAAAACAATAGGACCCATCTTCCCATTTTTGGAAGTATTGGTAGATAATTTGGATCCCAAAATGATTGGGATCAATTGGGAACCATTCCACATGGACTTAGTACCTGCAAAACAAGTGAAAAGAGGTGAGAAGGCCATATGGGGCGGACTCTTGGCTCACATGCACAAAAAACTCCAAGAGAAAACAAAAGGGGGAGGTCCACCCCATATTTGATTGCAAACCAAATATCTTCCATGTTCTTTTGTGAGCCACATACTCTTTTAGCATGTTTAGGGGCTCCTAATACACTCCCCACACACCCCATTCGAACCCCCAAAGAGATAAGAGAGCAAGGGAATCCACACAATCCAAGAGAGAAGGAAGGAGGAGAGCAGTTCGCAGGTTCGTTCTTCAGTGCGTAGCTCTGATTGTTTGAGCCATAACTTGAGATTTACGCACCCAAATAAGGCGTGCGAGATACCAACAGAAAGCTCTCAAGACGAGGAATCCGTGAAGGTCTGGTTTGCATAAATCGGAGTAGTGGAAGGCCTCCAAATCGACCGAGCAAAACACGACCTCGCAGAATACGTTTTTGTATTCAAAGTAAGTTTGAATCCAAAACCTTCCTCTCTATTGTCTAAATCATATACATGATTGAAGAACTATTATACACTGATTGAAGTGTATAAAATGTTATTATTATGTGACTTTAATTGTTGGAAAGGTTAGATACTAACCTAGACAAAACCTTGAAAGGTTAGGGAACGAATTCGTCGGGAAACACCCGTTCTAGGGACTGTTTTTGCATTTTCGGTTAGGAGTTGAACTAGCACTTTGAGGGGGCTGTTTAACACTCAATTCCAAGCAAGGAATCAGTTCTCAATCTTCCTTGTCCGAGGCTTTGGGTCATTGGATCGAGAAGGAAAGTTTTAAAGCTCATTTGAGGTGAGGATTGACATCTAATTGCTTACAACTTGTAGGTTAAGTATGAGATTACCTAAATGCTTAAGTCATTATTTTTCATGGATTATGATGATCATATATTGATGAAATGTTGATATAGTTGCCAAAGAATGAAATTTGAAATGATTTGAGAATGTATGAATAATATGAGATTTAATGAGTATAAATGAACTATTTTTGCGAAATGGGTATTTTGCTCATGTATGTAGTATTTGGATACATAAATGAATATTTGTGTATTGAGATTGAATACTTAAGTTGCTGCTACATAATTATAATTATGTAGAGAATTACAAATAAAGAGGACAGTGGTATGATAACAATAATCTTAATAGTATTGAAATACTAGTTAGTGATTATTGGAACTTGTTGATTAAATTAATCCTCTAGGGATTGGATTGTATGAAGGGTACTTGAATATAGTTCAAGTGTATATAATAACTTAGTATGAAGCTAAGGTTAAGTGATGGGAAGTCTTGAAGGATGACCCATGGTAGTTTAATGATATGTCAATTCTAGGCATAGGTTTGCTTGAGAATTGGACCTTAATGCATGGTGATGTGATAGAGCCGAGCTCTAGAATGTATGTAAGGTATAGACTTGGATTCTATGTATTGTATAGCTAGAGCCGAGCTCTAGGGCTTGCGTGGTGATGTAATAGAGCCGAGCTCTAGAACGCAAGGTAAGGAATTGACCCGAGTGACATGAATTGTATGGTGATGTAGTAGAGCCGAGCTCTAGAATACAATGTCATGTGTTAGGGTTGGACTCTATTGAGTTGTCGTGGCTTGTAGCCACGGGAAATGGGAATGGTGATTTCTAAATGAACATGGGCCCACGGGCCGACTACTTGACTTTTACCTAAAGTAAGTATATTTTCAAATGGGTAACTTAGGGTTACAAATCATAATATACTATCACCCTATTTGAGGGTCTTGTGCATGAAATACTTGTTGTATATCTATTAGATGCCTGCCACACCAGTACTTTATAGCCGTATAGAGTACTGACCCCTTCGGGGGCGTCCCACCACCATTTCAGGTTGAGGCTAGAGCTTGCTTCCTGTGCTCGTTGCCCGAGTGATTTCCCGGAGAGAAGACTTGGTTCGTGCTTCCTCCATTCTGTTTTAGAACATTAATAAACATGCTCATGGATATTTTACTTTAGAGCCTGCGTGCTCATGTTTGCCCTGTGTGGCCCTTTTGTTTTAAACAATGTTTTCCGCTGCGTATTGAATTGCTTATTATGTATGTTTATGGATGACTTATGTGTGAATGATATTCATGACGCCTTGTATAATATGAATGCGTTGGACTGCGGTTGACTATTCGTATTGTACGGCGGGTTGTTGACGTGTCCGGGGAGGTCCGGGGCGTGACAATTAAGTTGGTATCAGAGCCTTAGTCCATAAACTTCATAATGAAGTCTCAAAATTCTCTTTTGAAAAGATTTTGAAAACCATGAGCATAGAAGTTTTGTACTTGGAGAGCTTTTGGTACTTGGGTTGCAAGGTCTCTAATTGTTAAGATGGTACCCTTAGCAATTGGTATGGCGGTGACTCGAGCCAAAATGTGTCTTAAGTACCTATCCGTCAATTGACATTTGATACGAGTCTAACGACTCTTTCCAAATTTCTTTCAGAAATGGACCGTGGTGGCAGGATTACTAGGAGAAACCCGACGGGCCGTGTACCAGTGGAGACTGGACAGGGCAGTCGAAGGACCTCTAGGGCATCTAGAGGAGCTGGCCGTGGAGGCCGATCACAGACCGTGAGTGACGGTCATGTTGACACGGAAAGTGAGACCTACTGGTCCTATGAGGACTCGACTTACCAACCGGAGACAGAGCCGGTTGAGACCCCTTATGAAGGGGATGATGACGATGTAAGTGATGAGGAGGAAAATGGCTCCTTAGCACGGATCGAAGCACTACTCCAACAATACCACAGGGAGCGTGAAGAGAGGAGGCAACGCCGAAGACGCCGAGCGGGGCAACCTTCGGGCATGGCTTCAGGAGGAGGAAGTCATGGTGCATCTAGAGTCCATGTGGAACCACATGGAGGCCAAAATGATGGAGGTCCAACCATAAGGATCTCCAAATTTATCAAAGAAGCAAGGGATTTGGGGTGCAAACCCTTTGATGGAGCAGGGGACATTTCAGTTGCAGCACAATGGATCAAGAGGCTAAATGAAGCAGCCCTTGACATGCAAATCGCGCCGAATCTCAAACTGAGAATTGCGGTAAGATTGCTCGAGGGGATGGCATCCAAGTGGTGGGATGGAACCAAGAGCAAGTACGGTGAGACCGTCGTTTGGGAGGACTTCCAACGGGAGTTCTTTGCCCAATATTATTCGGATTTTGAAGTGAACAAGAAGGTGAGGGAATACACCCTCCTAACCCAAGGGGGCAACATGACAGTGAAGGAACTTGAGTACAAGTTCCGGGATCTCGCCGACTACATACCGGAGTATGCTTGTGACGAGAACCGAATGGTAAACCACTTTTGGGATGCTCTTGACTTGGAGATACGTGATAGGGCAACACAATTGCCTAATATGACTTTCGCCCAAGTGGTTGACCAAGCGTTGAAGGGGGAGAAACAGTGGGAGGAGAGGAAGAAGAGAGACGCCGAGGAGGCGAAAAAGAGAAAGTGGGAGAGTCATGGCTCCCAAGGTTCCAACAAAAAGGGGAACCATGGAGGAGGATCTTTCCGGGCACCGCCGCCACCGTCTAGGGGGAACCAAGGCCCGAGTGGGCAAGGCTCGAGGTCACAAACCTCGGTGATAACTCGTTGCAACAATTGCAAGAAGAATCACTCCGGTAAGTGTCGCGACCCCCCTAGATGTTTCCAATGTGGGGATGCCGGACACTTGAAGGCGCATTGCCCCCAGTTGGGTGGGGCAAGGACATCAGGACCAAGTAGCGGGGCTGCGGGAAGTAGAAACCAAGCCGGGGGTTCCCAAGTAACCAGGGGGCAAGGGGGAGCAAGCGCGAGTAACGCGCCGTCCGTGAATCAAGGAAGGACGCAAGCTAGAGTCTACGCAATGACCGAGGCTGATGCTCGGGCTAATCCCGACTCCGTCGCTGGTAATACACTTATTTTGGGCACTTTTAGGCTTACTTAGATCATGTACGTCGTTGGGATTGAGTGCGGGCCACCCCGGGGCCAAAACCGGGTGAGTTAGGCCAAATCAGGCTGGAAACAGCCACTGCCGGCCAGGCACGCCCGCAGGCACGCCGTGCGTGGCACCGTGCCTGGGAGGCAGTGGCCTCGCTGAGGAGTTCCGGCCAGGCACGGCTGCAGGCACGCCGTGCGTGGCACCGTGCCTGGGAGGCAGTGGCCTCCTCGAGGAAATTCGGCCAGGCACGGTCGCAGGCACGCCGTGCGTGGCACCGTGCCTGGGAGGCAGTAGCGCCCAGGGCTTTTTCCTAAGCCAGGCACGATCGTGCCTACCCCAGGCACGCCGTGCCTGGCACCCAGATTGCCGACGATTGATTTTTCGCACCGTTTTGCGACGTTAAGACCCGTTCTTGATCCCAAACACATGTGTGAACATAATAAACCTCTCTAAATGTGTAAGAATGGTAGGAAAGGTATCTTACATGACTTATAAATGTAGGAACACTAAAGATTAATGGGAAGGATGCGCGAATCCTTATCGATACCGGGGGCGCAACGTTCATTTGTGAATGAAGCGTTCGCGAAGAGGTTGGGAGTGCAATCCGCACCATTGATGCAAACCTTAGTGGTGTCAACACCACTAGGGGATGACGTGGAAAGAACTTGTTACTATCCATCTTGTGGGGTGGAGGTTAATGGTCAAACCTTGACGTGTGACTTCGTACCGCTGAGCATGATTGAATTCGATGCAATCCTAGGGATGAATTGGCTAGAAAGGAACCATGCTAGGGTAGATTGCTACACGAAGGTTCTTGAACTCGAAGGCAATGATGGGGAGACCCTACGCTTCGAGGGCGATCGAGGGAGATCAAATAGCTGCATCATATCCGCCGTGAGAGCGAGAAGCATGATGAGAAAGGGATGCCACGCATATCTAGCATACGTGGTTGACAAAACCAAAGAAGAAACGAACATCGATGATGTGAGGGTGGTTTGTAAGTATCCGGATGTCTTCCCTAAAGACTTACCAGGGCTTCCACCTGATAGGGAGATTGAATTTGTGATCGAGGTCGAGCCTGGTACCAAACCAATCTCCATACCGCCATATCGTATGGCACCCGCTGAACTTAACGAGTTGAAAACCCAATTGCAGGAGCTTTTGGATAATGGTTTCATTAGACCCAGCCACTCCCCGTGGGGAGCACCAGTTCTTTTTGTGAAAAAGAAAGATGGGACACTCCGAATGTGCATTGACTATCGTCAACTGAACAAGGTCACAATCAAGAATAGGTATCCTTTGCCTAGGATTGATGACTTATTTGATCAACTACGAGGAGCAACCGTGTTTTCAAAGATTGACTTGAGGTCGGGGTACCACCAATTGAAGATTAAGGGAGTGTTTGCAACAGCTTCTGCTTTAAAAAAAGCACTTTTGGAGTGATTTGGAAAAAGTGATTATTTGTAAAAGTTGATAGTGTTTGAGAAAAAAGTGATTTTGAAAAGTAAAAGTTGGTAGTGTTTGGTAAAATAAGTGCTTTTGGTGTATAAAAAGTGGAAAAACACTTTTGACACGAAAGCCGAGAAAAATAAAAAATTGGTAGTGTTTGGTAAATAAGTGCTTTTTTAAGCCAAAAGCTGAGAAGTGCTTTTTTTAAAGTGGTTGCAAACCAGCCTTAAGGAGGATGACATACCAAAGAGTGCTTTCCGCACAAGGTATGGGCATTTTGAATTCCTTGTTATGTCGTTTGGGTTAACAAACGCCCCGGCGGCATTCATGGACTTGATGAACCGAGTATTTCATAAATACTTGGACCGATTCGTGATTGTGTTCATAGATGACATCTTGATTTATTCAAGGAGTGAAGAAGAGCATGAAGAGCACTTGATACTTGTTCTTGAGACACTACGAGAGAAGCAACTTTATGCCAAATTTTCTAAATGTGAATTTTGGCTAAAGGAGATTGGCTTCCTCGGGCACGTGGTTTCTGGATCGGGAATTGCTGTTGATAACAAGAAGATAGAAGCCATTACCGAGTGGGAGAGGCCAAAGAACGTCAAGGAAATTCGTAGTTTCCTTGGATTGGCAGGCTACTACATGAAGTTCGTGGAGAAGTTCTCTGTTTTGGCATCACCATTGACGAAGCTCACTCGTAAAGGAGCTAAGTTTGTATAAGATGACAAATGTGAGAAGGGGTTCATGGAACTAAAGAAACGATTGACCGAGGCACCGGTACTCGCATTACCCAAACAGGGTGTGGGGTACAATGTCTATAGCGATGCGAGCATCCAAGGGCTTGGGTGTGTACTGATGCAGAATGGGAGGGTAATCGCCTATGCTTCACGACAGTTGAAGAAGCATGAGGTGAATTATCCTACTCATGATTTGGAGCTGGGGGGCAGTGGTGTTTGCACTGAAGATATGGAGACATTATCTCTACGGGGAGACATGTCACATATACACTGATCACAAGAGCTTGAAATACGTGTTTACTCAGAAAGAGCTAAACATGAGACAGAGACGGTGGATGGAGTTGATAAAAGACTACCATCTGGTGATAGAGTATCACCCAGGCAAGGCTAACGTGGTGGCAGATGCTTTGAGCCGGAAAAGCTCGTCTGGGCTGTTGCTAGCTAATTTGAGGGCATTAAGGGCCCAACTGGAGGTATCCAGCGAGGGTGCCTTATTGGCACGATTTGAGGTGAGACCTACTTTACTTGATGAGATCAAGAAGGGTCAGGAAACCGACGAAGAAATTATGAAGATCCGGGAACGCATGCAAGCGGGACCGGTGGAGGACTTCAGAGAAAGAGATGACGGTCTCTTATTATTTCGTGACCGAGTGTGTGTACCGGCGGATGACGAGCTCCGAAAGTCCATCTTAGAGGAAGCTCATTCATCGGCTTATGCCATGCACCCGGGGGGCACGAAGATGTACCGTGACCTGAAGGAGAGCTACTGGTGGTCAGGTATGAAGAGAGAAATAGCCGAATATATCAGTCGATGCCTTACTTGTCAACAAGTTAAGGCGGAGCATCAGCATCCAGCGGGCTTATTGCAACCACTTTCCATTCCTGAATGGAAGTGGGAACACGTGACTATGGATTTTGTGGTAGGGTTGCCACGGACAATCAGGAACTATGATGCAGTTTGGGTTGTTGTAGATAGGCTCACAAAGAGTGCACACTTCTTACCTATCAACACTACTTACCCACTCGAGAGGTTAGCCAAATTGTACACGGATGAGATCGTGAGGCTACATGGGGTTCCAGTGACCATTGTATCCGATAGAGACCCACGATTCACATCACGTTTTTGGCCGAAATTTCAGGAGTCTATGGGGACGAGGTTGAAGTTCAGTACTGCTTTCCACCCACAGACGGACGGGCAGTCTGAAAGAGTCATACAGATCTTAGACGACATGCTGAGGGCTTGTGCATTAGAGTTCCAAGGAAGTTGGGACAACCACTTAGCACTTGTGGAGTTTGCCTATAACAACAGTTATCAGGCAAGCATCGGCATGCCTCCATACGAGGCATTGTATGGGAGGAGATGCCGTACACCGTTATGCTGGGATGAGGTTGGCATGGCCAAACTCGAGGGTACTGAGTTGGTTGAGGTCACCAAGTCAAAGGTGAAGCTGATTCGAGAGAGACTCAAGGCGGCTCAGGATAGGCAAAAGAGTTATGCAGATAAGCGTCGAAGGACCTTAGAGTTTAAGGTTGACGACGAGGTATTCCTGAAAGTTTCTCCTTGGAAAGGAATCATTCGATTCCAAACCCGAGGAAAGCTTAACCCACGATATATAGGCCCATTCAGAATTATAGAGAGGGTGGGGGCCGTAGCATATCGTCTACAGTTGACTCCTGAGTTGGAGAAGATTCATAATGTGTTTCACGTGTCCATGCTTAAGAAGTATGTGCATGATCCTTCTCATGTGTTGGAGAAGCCGCCCGTGGAGGTACGTGAAGATTTGAACTATGCCGTGCAACCGGTAAGAGTTATTGACAGAAAAGTGAAGAAACTGAGGAGTAAAGAAGTTCCAATGGTTAAAGTCCTTTGGAAGAGTGACCGGGTCGAAGAAGAGACTTGGGAAACAGAAGCTTTGATGAGGAAGCAGTATGCATTCCTATTTGAGTAGAGCTGTGAATTTCGGGGACGAAATTCCTGTTAAGGGGGGGTGAACTTGTGACACCGCTCCCGAAGGTCCTTGAAAATTTGATTTAAAGTTCAAAGTTTATGTATTGGATTTCTGATTCCCAAACATTTGTAAAACGATTAATGTTTTACGTAATTAATGACCGATTATTATACTGTTCGAACTCGTATATTAGTATCGGGCTTGCGAATACTCATTCTGGGCCCAACCTGCTAAAAATAGCAAGTATTCGAGAATGGCGTTCTGGATCCACTCGGGAGTGACCCACACGGCTAGTAGTCCAATAATATGTATGACAAATGTCAAATAAGTGATAGAATGATTAAAGGAGAATACAAATGCCTATAACCCCATCTTTGGCATTATTGAGCTAAATAATGGGTGTAGGATTTTCCTTCTATAATATCAATCAAGTAAATTATTGGGATGAGCCTACACATATTGGAGATCAATAATGTGATTTAGGAAGTTGACTTGTGCTAAATAAATTAGGATGAGTACAAAAAGACATCTTTGACAAAAGATAAAACAATAGGACCCATCTTCCCATTTTTGGAAGTATTGGTAGATAATTTGGATCCCAAAATGATTGGGATCAATTGGGAACCATTCCACATGGACTTAGTACCTGCAAAACAAGTGAAAAGAGGCGAGAAGGCCATATGGGGCGGACTCTTGGCTCACATGCACAAAAAACTCCAAGAGAAAACAAAAGGGGGAGGTCCACCCCATATTTGATTGCAAACCAAATATCTTCCATGTTCTTTTGTGAGCCACATACTCTTTTAGCATGTTTAGGGGCTCCTAATACACTCCCCACACACCCCATTCGAACCCCCAAAGAGATAAGAGAGCAAGGGAATCCACACAATCCAAGAGAGAAGGAAGGAGGAGAGCAGTTCGCAGGTTCGTTCTTCAGTGCGTAGCTCTGATTGTTTGAGCCATAACTTGAGATTTACGCACCCAAATAAGGCGTGCGAGATACCAACAGAAAGCTCTCAAGACGAGGAATCCGTGAAGGTCTGGTTTGCATAAATCGGAGTAGTGGAAGGCCTCCAAATCGACCGAGCAAAACACGACCTCGCAGAATACGTTTTTGTATTCAAAGTAAGTTTGAATCCAAAACCTTCCTCTCTATTGTCTAAATCATATACATGATTGAAGAACTATTATACACTGATTGAAGTGTATAAAATGTTATTATTATGTGACTTTAATTGTTGGAAAGGTTAGATACTAACCTAGACAAAACCTTGAAAGGTTAGGGAACGAATTCGTCGGGAAACACCCGTTCTAGGGACTGTTTTTGCATTTTCGGTTAGGAGTTGAACTAGCACTTTGAGGGGGCTGTTTAACACTCAATTCCAAGCAAGGAATCAGTTCTCAATCTTCCTTGGCCGAGGCTTTGGGTCATTGGATCGAGAAGGAAAGTTTTAAAGCTCATTTGAGGTGAGGATTGACATCTAATTGCTTACAACTTGTAGGTTAAGTATGAGATTACCTAAATGCTTAAGTCATTATTTTTCATGGATTATGATGATCATATATTGATGAAATGTTGATATAGTTGCCAAAGAATGAAATTTGAAATGATTTGAGAATGTATGAATAATATGAGATTTAATGAGTATAAATGAACTATTTTTGCGAAATGGGTATTTTGCTCATGTATGTAGTATTTGGATACATAAATGAATATTTGTGTATTGAGATTGAATACTTAAGTTGCTGCTACATAATTATAATTATGTAGAGAATTACAAATAAAGAGGACAGTGGTATGATAACAATAATCTTAATAGTATTGAAATACTAGTTAGTGATTATTGGAACTTGTTGATTAAATTGATCCTCTAGGGATTGGATTGTATGAAGGGTACTTGAATATAGTTCAAGTGTATATAATAACTTAGTATGAAGCTAAGGTTAAGTGATGGGAAGTCTTGAAGGATGACCCATGGTAGTTTAATGATATGTCAATTCTAGGCATAGGTTTGCTTGAGAATTGGACCTTAATGCATGGTGATGTGATAGAGCCGAGCTCTAGAATGTATGTAAGGTATAGACTTGGATTCTATGTATTGTATAGCTAGAGCCGAGCTCTAGGGCTTGCGTGGTGATGTAATAGAGCCGAGCTCTAGAACGCAAGGTAAGGAATTGACCCGAGTGACATGAATTGTATGGTGATGTAGTAGAGCCGAGCTCTAGAATACAATGTCATGTGTTAGGGTTGGACTCTATTGAGTTGTCGTGGCTTGTAGCCACGGGAAATGGGAATGGTGATTTCTAAATGAACATGGGCCCACGGGCCGACTACTTGACTTTTACCTAAAGTAAGTATATTTTCAAATGGGTAACTTAGGGTTACAAATCATAATATACTATCACCCTATTTGAGGGTCTTGTGCATGAAATACTTGTTGTATATCTATTAGATGCCTGCCACACCAGTACTTTATAGCCGTATAGAGTACTGACCCCTTCGGGGGCGTCCCACCACCATTTCAGGTTGAGGCTAGAGCTTGCTTCCTGTGCTCGTTGCCCGAGTGATTTCCCGGAGAGAAGACTTGGTTCGTGCTTCCTCCATTCTGTTTTAGAACATTAATAAACATGCTCATGGATATTTTACTTTAGAGCCTGCGTGCTCATGTTTGCCCTGTGTGGCCCTTTTGTTTTAAACAATGTTTTCCGCCGCGTATTGAATTGCTTATTATGTATGTTTATGGATGACTTATGTGTGAATGATATTCATGACGCCTTGTATAATATGAATGCGTTGGACTGCGGTTGACTATTCGTATTGTACGGCGGGTTGTTGACGTGTCCGGGGAGGTCCGGGGCGTGACAGCTACCCACTCCCTCTTCTTCTCCGTTCATCCGTACCCTTCTCCCTCTTTTTCTCCGTTCGTCTGTCGAAGTTGACACCTACGAAACCCAAGAACCCAACAACGCTCTCTGTTCTCCGTTCGCAAGTCACGAAACCGGCCGTCCCGCGCAACAGTTGAATCGACGAAATCCATCCGACCGTCGTCCGCTTCACTCCGCTCAACTGGTACGGCGGCGACTGAATTCGAAGGACTAATATGAAATTTTAAAGTGGAAGACTTCAAGGGTCATCCACAGCTAATGAACGAAGGACATGGTGCGCACATCATTGTAGTTCAGAGGTAAAGATCTGCAAAACCAACTTCTTTTGTAGTTCTTAATACTTTGTAGTTCCCATTTTTTTTGGTAATTTTTTGAATTTCTGCATTTTGAGATGGGTTTTGTGAGATGTCGGTGTAGTGTGTTGTTATGTGTTTGTGGATTTAGAGTTCCCTGTTTTTTGCATTTCGTATGTCCTTCACAGAGCTCCAGTGGATTTCCCTGTTCTGTGTATTTTGAGATGTCTGTAAAGTGCGTTCTTATGTGTTTGTGCATTGTAGAATTCTGTTTATGGGTTTCCTGAGATGTCTGTGTAATATGTTGTTATATTTTTGTGGATTTAGAGTTGTCTTTATGTCCATTATGAGATGTCTGTGTGGCTGTGATGCTTGCCTTTATGTTTATAGTATTTCGATTTGAGAAGTCTGTATCCTGTGTTCTAAAATGTGTGTGCATTGTAGACTTGTCTATTTGTTGTTCCTGAGATGTCTGTGTACTTTGTTTTTATATGTTTGTTCATTCTGTAGTTGTCTATATAGTTTTCCTGAGATGTCTGTGTACTTTGTTTTTATATGTTGTGCATTTTTGAGTTGTCTATATGGTTTTCATGAGATGTCTGATGTATGTCAGCATTGGTTGTGTGCAATATTTTAGGATGGAATTGTAAATTCCAATAAAAGATTACTTTCGTGCGCAATACTCTGGACAAGAATTTTTTTTAGGAGCCTCTGTCACTGCGGCCTTCGCCAACTTCTGGCAATGAGATTGATGGAATCGAGGTTCGACGGGCTGTAGGTGGGGTATCTCCATGATATCACCGTTGATGACGCTGTCCAAAGCAGACTGTTGAGGACTCACAACAGCCTCCCACAAGGAACATTATTTTTGTTTAGTTTTGTTTTTTCTCTTGCCCAGAATATGTTTGATAAAATGTTGGAATGAAAGTGTAGTTGGATAAGATATGTTCATTTTTTCTTCCTGCCGACTTTAGTATGAATTTCAATTCAAACACTCCATTTTACTTTCAGGATATACATAAAAATTGTCTAAAGCATAAATAACTATTGTCGAAAGCATAAATAACTATTGTCTGTGTATATATAATAATTGTCTGTGTAAAGAAAAAAAACATATTATTATCTATGTATAAATAACTATTGTTTGTGTGTATAATAAATAACTTTAGTCAATATACTTAGATAATACATCTTGAGTGACTATTGTGCACAACAAAATGGGGCATGTACAAGAAGCCCAACCTTTGTTAAAATACTACAACTACAAAAAGAACACGTGAAATAATTCTTGATTCATATCATAGAATAGAATTAAAATAACCTTTGTCTGAATGATATTTATGCTTGGGCACACAAAGATAAACTTGTTTTTGGTTACAACCAACTATTGTCTGGGCACAGACAATATAAAACGACATACAAACAATTATTTATTACGCACAGACGAAACAATCAAACGCATGGAGAATATTTTAACCAAGTGTTTGTGTATAAGTTTTGTTTGTATACAGACAATGTTTATACAAGTTTTGTCTATGTACAAACAATTGCTATATAAATTTTAAGGTGAATTGTGTGCGACATGAATAAAAATTTTTGAGTTACACAATTTTAAGGTGAATTGTCCATGTAAATGTCGTTTTCCCAAATGAATAAAAAGGATTTTTTGTCACACAACTATTATATTCCACAACAAATTCTATTACACTTACGTTTGAAATCCAATAACACCAAAGACATATCAATTTTCATAACGTATATGATACATCATTGAAAATCAAGCAAATCTAAGTACAATTACATTCTACAAACAATAACATTAACTTCAGAAACTATTAATTACAAGTATTAAATTAAATATTTAGTTATCAATTTATCGTGTTCCTTGATCCTCTCATTCTTGCATTGGAGCACATCAAACATCCATAAACCTTTCTTTATCCGTGTATAGGTTTTGTCATAATTGGAATTCAAAACCTGACGATAATCTGTACCTTGAAACAATACAACAAAACATTCTATTAATAAAGAGGTCCGACGATCGAGTTAAACTCATAATGATATTTTTGTTCGACTAAGCCAGTACAAACCAAGATCATTTACACATTAGGCCTAACCTCAAAACACTGATCAAACAAATAAAAATTTAATAGCAATTGTTTTGAATCAGTTGAGCAGAGAATTGTATCTTTGCAATTCCATCCTAAAAAATTGCACAGAACCAATGCTGACAGACATCAGACACCTCATGAAAACCATATAGACAACTCAAAAATGCACAACGTATAAAAACAAAGTACACAAACATCTCAGGAAAACTATATAGACAACTACACAATAAACAAACATATATTAACACACTACACAGACATCTCAGCAAAACCATAAAGACAACTCTGCTAGCCGCAAACGTATAAGAACAGTGTACACACACATCTCAACAAATCCTTATAGACAATTAAAAAATGCGCAAACATATGCTAGAACACTACACAGACATCTCAGGAAAACTATATAGACAACTACAGAATGAACAAACATATAAAAACAAAGTACACAGACATCTCAGGAACAGCAAATAGACAAGTCTACAATGCACACACATTTTAGAACACAGGATACAGACTTCTCAAATCGAAATACTATAAAAATAAAGGCAAGCATCACAGCCACACAGACATCTCATAAAGGACATAAAGACAACTCTAAATCCACAAAAATATAACAACATATTACACAGACATCTCAGGAAACCCATAAACAGAATTCTACAATGCACAAACACATAAGAATGCACTTTACAGACATCTCAAAATACACAGAACAGGGAAATCCACTGGAGCTCTGTGAAGGACATACGAAATGCAAAAAACAGGGAACTCTAAATCCACAAACACATAACAACACACTACACCGACATCTCACAAAACCCATCTCAAAATGCAGAAATTCAAAAAATTACAAAAAAAAAAAGGGAACTACAAAGTATTAAGAACTACAAAAGAAGTTGGTTTTGCAGATCTTTACCTCTGAACTACAATGATGTGCGCACTATGTCCTTCGTTCATTAGCCCTGGATGACCATTGAAGCCTTCCACTTTAAAATTTCAGATTAGCCCTTCGAATTCAGTCGCCGTCGTACCAGTTGAGCGGAGTGAAGCGGACGACGGTCGGATGGATTTCGTCGATTCAACTGTTGCGCGGGACGGCGGGTTTCGTGACTTGCGAACGGAGAACAGAGAGCGTTGTTGGTTTCTTGGGTTTCGTAGGTGTCAACTTCGACGGACGAACGGAGAAGAAGAGGGAGAAGGGTACGGATGAACGGAGAAGAAGAGGGAGTGGGTAGCGGTTTTTTTTTTGTGGGGTGACGGGAAAGAGAAGGGCGCATGGGAGGAGAAGGGGAGTGGGACGGGTTAGTTCAGAAGGAGGGTGGGGTGAGATAGTTAGAAAAAGGGTGGGGTGGGCTTTTTATGCTGTGTACACCGGTGTGTAACCGGGAGTGTACACAGCGACTTTTCCTATATATAAAAACGGGAAAGTGGAGCAAAGGTTTGGGCGGGAACTGCAGTATCCGCTTAAGTGTAATTGTGTTGTTTTTAATTTCAATATAAAAAGCAACTTCGTACATTGGGATTAATGATGCTGCCGAGATATAAGATGTGGTTGTACAATTAATTTATTCATTTAATAAATTGTAGCAATTGATTGGTTTTTTAGCTTCTCTAAGTTGCGCTGCTCGAGGTAATTGCTGCCACAATGTTGTTTAAAGTTTCCAATGAGCATAAAATATGGTTTTGATGGGTAAGCTTCTACCCAACAATGGCCAACATCCTCCTATATATACACCTCACAGTCCTTGAATGGCCCGGCTAGGAGCCTAGGACTAAGCCAACCAAAAGGGTATGAAGAGAGAAGTCATCTGAAAAGAAATACAGTAATGATTACTGTTCGTTAATGCTAACTATATTAAATGTTCGTTATTTGGTTTATTTTATTTTATATACTATTCCGTACGTATTATTGTTAATTTGTATAAACATTTATTTCATTAAAATTGTTAGATGGCTGCAACATTTGTAATGGTTAAGGCATTGGTTCACAAGACATGAGCAACGCATTTGGCAATCGAATTGAGAGTATGTGCATAGCTTGCTAAAAGTGATAATGGTGAGATGAAGGCACAGGTTTTCAGAAATTAAAAATTGCATTCGGGTTCTGTAATAACATGGATTCGTAGCGTGGAGATTGTAGTCTTCGTCATGAAATTTTGTGTATCAATTCTCATAAAATGAATAAAATTGTATTTTTTTGTTTAATTGTTGAGCATCTAGGAATGCATTTCGCTTCAAATCTGATTTCATTCCACAAAGGAAACAAATCGAAAATTAAAATGAAAGGAAAATGAAAACGGGTCTCCTACAATGTGAATTGAAAGAAGAGGAATCAAGATATGTTCATGGTTGATGATTCATAATAATGAAAATAGTAGAAGATGAGAAGATGAAAAACCAAGATAGATAGTCTTGATTACCTTTCAATCAAGTTTAGCATCTCTACTCTTGTAAAATTACAAATTTACGGAGTACCTTTCAAGCCGAACATATGTTGATCATTTTTTCCATCCGTATATCTTTGTGAGAAGACGGTTGTGTAGAATGTGGAGGAGGCATCGGGAGCTGAGAGCCTGAGACTCCTACATGATGAAACGTAGATGTGATAATGTGAAAAGATTTGGATAAGAATATTAATTAACATCATAAAAATCTGCTATAGGGTGTACTCAATTGTTGTTAATTTTGGCGAATAAAAATCAAATGTGGTGCGGAAACAAAATATATGGACTTCTTTTTGTTATTAATGGCTTGCATGAACTAAATAATACTCCGTACTACATGTACCAAGTATTCTCTTTGTCATTTATAATTTCATCAAATTCGATCGATCGGTATTTGGAATAGTAAAATAAAACTATATGATTGATGTTTGAATTGAAGAGAGAGAAATGTGAAGATAATACTTTTTTAATTTGCATGCTATTCATCTTTTTTCTAAACACTAAAGTTTTTATTTCGAATATAAAATTTTATAATAATCAAATTAAAGCCTTTAAGAGATATTTTTATGGTGGAATTGGTTGACGACAACTACTTTACATTTTTTATTTATGTGGTTTTCTTTGTTTTATAATTTTTAGTGTAAATATTTTAAAATATTTTATTTCTGTCAATTTAATTTAAACAATTTCAGCTTAGTTATTTTATTTAAACAATTTCATTTGTTTTGTTTTATTTAACTAAATTGCATCATTAAAAAAACGAAATTGCCGAGCCAAAACCTGTGATACCCGTAATATAATAAATAAGGAGTTAGAAAGAAGTTTAACAATATCATTTGATTTGTTATGGAGGGCTTTGGTACTTATTATTATTATTACTTATTATTATTTTTTGATGACATTACTCCTCAAGACACACATTTGGCGCTGAGGTCTGGATTGTGTTTGCTCATATAACAGGCTCACTCTTTTTTGTATATCTTTTGGTGATCATATCAGATGGTCCAAAGAGGAACAATAGGCGATTTAAATTGTTAGATGATACTCGACATGCAGGTAAAAACATAAACAACATGTATATTTTAAAAAATAGCTAAAAATCTAAAATACGCTTACAATTTTGAAGATCGAACGGAATTTTAAAGTCTAATCGACGCTGACATTTTGGATAAGGCCAATGTAAAAGTGGGTTTCGAGAAGTTGTGGGACAGAGTCGACCGATTTTTGAGAAGTTGCCAATCTAGATAACACGTATAATGTGCATTACAGATTTACAGATCGTGAATAGGAATGAGCCTCTTATGTACTAACGTAGATAACAATACATATTGATCCTGCTATCCCATAAAATAACCTCATTACCATTTACATTGTTTCACTGACAATGAAGTAAATTGATCCCTATTCAGACTCATACGTACTTATGTAGTATTATTTTTAGAAAAAAAAGTTCATATATTCCAAAACTACATTAAAAATTTTATAAAGCATGATCAAGAAAATTTAAATATGATAAAATTTGATATATATAAAACAAAAGATTAAGACTGTTTTATGTTGACCAAGTGCATAGTAAATTGAAACTATTTTATGGATGGAGGTAGTATATAATTTTGGGTTTAATAGGGGTGGGTTGGTTCAAACGGTTTGGTTTTCACCTAAACCCAAACTCCGAACTAAAATATAAAAAAAATTGATTCGGTTCGGTTTAAGTGACACATAATTCAAGTGTAAGTGTTCCACTTAATTCAACACACATATATAATAAATGTAAGTGCAAGTGTTCCACTGCACTTAATTCAACACACATATAATAAATGACAATATCTTGCAAATCATAATAAATATAATCTAATATCAAGCATTAATTTTATAGAATTAAGAACTAAACAAAATAGTACACTTAATGGTTAATAAATAAAACAACAAGTTTTAAATTGTTCGGTTTATTCGATTCGGTTTGCTTCGTTTTTTTGAGTCCAGTTTCGATTTTCCTAAGATTTGATTGTTTTGATTGCGGTTCGGGTTTTTACGACTCGGCTTTCAGTTTCACCGATCCACCTAAATTATTACAATCATAAAAAGTGGATTTTAAGAAGCCGTGTTTTTTGGTGCATCAGATTTTTGAAAGGGGCTTATCAGAATTTATTTACTCAAAGTAGGGGTGGACTCAGGTCAGGCCGCCCAGCCCGGTACTGTTTAGAACCGGCCCGGCCCGGGAACCGGTTCCGGTTTGGGCCTAGGCCCGAGGGGTTAAGCGGTTCCGGGCCCGGGTCATGAAAAAGGCCGGCCTGGCCGGGCTCGGTTCGGGCATTTTTTTTCCTTTTGTTTTTTCAATTTTTTTTGTTTTTCCCGAGTTGGGCTGGGTGTTTGGGGGGGGGGGGGGGGAGGTTGGGAGTCGGGGGTTAATTAGAAAAGCAAAAGAAAATTTAAAAAAAAATAAGAAGTGAACCGGCCTAGCCCGGAATAGCTGCCTACCCGGGCCGGTTCCGGTTCTCCCTTCCCAAAAAAAGCCCGGCTGGGCCCAGTCCTGAACTGGAACCGGCCCGGGTCCATCCCTAACTCAAAGTCTCAAACCGATCCTTGGTATTTTTGGTGCATCAGATTTTTTGAAAGGGACTTATCAGAATTTATTTACTCAAACCAATCCTTGGGTACTGAATTTGGGTTAATAACGTGATGTGCCTTCTCATACACCGGACTGACCGTTTTTAAATAGTACATAGTATATAAAGTTTTTTTCTTTATTTATTAATAAAATAAATTTTAAAATTATTATTTGTATAATTTAGTATAATCACACAATTTAGCCAAAACATCATCAATTTAAGTAGAATCAGTTAATTCAGACAATTACTGTATTAATTATCAGATGCACTCTAAATTGGTAATGTATTAACGACTTTCACATTCTAATATGTTTTTAATGACTTTTTAAGTACTTCTCTTTTTTAATCACCATCTAAATAAACTATCCCGTGCATCGCACGGGTATTATACTAGTTTTAAAGGATTTCTTACTAGTTCCATGGCTTCGCTGTTGATGTTAGCACGGTGCCTAAGGTATTGGTTGTGACATGAGACCTTTGGAAGTGCTAGGAAGATTTCTCGGAGAGCTTTCTATTCATGGGCGTTTTTCTTCGAAATGTTCTTTTGCGTGAGAGTTGGGAGATGGAAAGCCTTCGAATAGAATGCCAACATGAAAAGGATCAAGATTTGTCCAACTCCAAAACACTCCAAATGTCTAGCACTCCAAAACACTCCCATTTGGGGTGTTAAAGAAGTCACTTATAGAGAGAGGTGTTAGGGAGGTTTAACCTAACAGTTTTAAGCACTCACTAACACTCTAATTCTTTCAAAACAAACTTTCAACATTCCACCCAAGCAAGCCGTTAGGGCCTAACACCTTTTGCAACATTGCATATACCTAAAATACAATGTATGGTTAAAAGGTTACATCAAAATGGGCTGTGGCATAGCTAAAAAAGGATATCAAAAATACTCTTTGCACACACTTTTTTTGTGTACACACTTTTACACATGTCGATGTAGGCTTTTTTTAATCTGTACACCAAAAAGTGTGTACACCAAGTTCAACTGAAAGGATATAGGGATAAGCCAGCACAAATAATTTCGTCTATAGTTTTCAGACGTAAATTTTACACACAAAATAAAGGGTTATATCAATTTGAAATGGGCTAGGTCGGCCCCCAACTACGGCACTTTTTATAGTGGCCTCTCCTTAGCAAAATTTTTAAAGAGAACCATATGACATTATGACTCTCTTATGGAATCATACAGTGCCACGGTAGGTTATCTTTATAGTGTTAACAGTAATTCAGTCTCATGGACTCATACTAGGTAATTCGTAAGATCATATTTTTAGCGTTCCGTTTAATTAGCACTATTATAGAAACACCAAACAAAATCTTCATATAAAATTGTAGTTTAACTTTGAACTTGAGTTCAAGTTAGTTGGACCTGCGCACAAATGCCTGGAGGCAATGCTGAAAATAAAAAATATGACCATATTGTATATTAACATACTTTATTTAATTATTTATTAGATTGAGAATGGGGTAATATTAATATAAAATGCATTTTATCTGATCTTATAATAAAGCAAGACTTTTACAAGTATCATTAGTTGGCCAAAAATGCTGTTTTCGCTCCTCTATTGAAAAAGACAAAAGGCTCTACAAATCATCTACTCTCTATTTAGAATATTTGAACTTCGATTAGTTTCTGTCTCAGACCAGACCAAATCAGAACAGTATTTAACACAAACAAGACCAAATTTTGACAATTATACAATCACGTAGACCAAATATTTTCTAGACCAAATCAAACTAGACTTTAACACAAACCAGACTTCGACAATTATAATATATACGTAGACCAAACCTTTCTCAGACCATACTAGATTTAAACAAACCAGACCAGAAAATTTTGAGTCCAATTAAAAAACATCTTTAGAAGCTATAACTCGAGTAAGTCACAGAAACATTATTTGAAATAAAAAGGATTACACCTCATCTCTGAGAGGCCCTCAAAACTGACGGGACAATAATCTAGAAGAACGTAAATTGAACTTTGATCACACACTGATGCAAAGAAAGTGAGATTCCATTCCAAGTTAGTTTGGAATTGAACTCGGGACATCTCCCTTGTGACACCCTCTTCCTACCAAATTAGCTATGCTCCCGATTACATGATTTGAAATAAGAATCAAGTGGAAGCTCATTATTTGGAAATACGTGAAAAGAAACTAGATCATGAACTGCAATTTATTCTGACTCGCCAAACCTAAACTAATTTTGAAATTATTGTACGCCAAATAATCCTCAAAGTTTTGGTTTAAGAAGACTTCAGAGAAATATCCTTGGTATCCTTTGTATTTCAAAATTATTGCAAGGCAAACAACAGTTTTGGTTTCACAAAAACTTCGGAAAAATATTCTTGGTATCATCCATTACACTAAGATATACTTCGTACAAATAGACCTAAAGTTGATTTAGAGGTCAGACTATCACCTATTCAACCCCCTGAGCTAAAATAGTGACACTCGCGAGAAACTCAGTTGTTTAGGGAAATTTATCTCTTATGAACCAACCGTTCGTTCATGTGCCTTTTGACACAAACGGTTGAAAGCTATGTTTAAAAAACCGAACCGGACCGGAAAAACCCGCAATACAACCAAAACCGGAAAACCCCAAGAACCCGCTCGGACCCGGACGGAACACAACCCGCTCAGAAACCGGAAATCTGCTAGAAACCGGCATTCAGCCTATCCTATAAAATTGCGTCATGAGGGGATTCGAACCCCGGGTGACCTGCTTGAGCGTGTAGCATAGAGACGAACTTACCAATGCTTTTGTTGTTACCAAAAGCAACATAGCAGTTATAATATCTATCTAATACGGATGAAGTTAATTTCTTTTTACATTAAATATTAATAAATACAATAACAAATTAAATAAAATACTACATATCAATGCTATTACGTATAAAACATTCGAATATTAGTTAAAATGCTTATAAAATACTTTAACATTTTTTAATAAGTATTTCTTCAAATTTATGTTTGAACAAAGTATGTTATACTTTTAAATATTTACTATACAAAATAAAAGCAAAATGTAAATATTTAAAGATATACTTAATAAGTACGGAGTATTAAATAATATTACTGATTAAAATAGGCCTAAAATTATATTCTGTATTTTAGAATATAATGAATGTGTGAATATAATCAATATATTTGAATATTAAATATTCAGAAAGGTTTAATAATTTTTTTACATTACTATATTTAAACAATCAAATATCTTAAGACTAGAAAAAATATCGATAATATTTTTTAATATAAAACTTGCTGAGTAAAGATTACGGAGAATGTCTATTACTATAAAACTTTATATAACAGTTGACCGGGTTTTACGGCATTGACCGGGTTGACCCATGACCCGATCATTCAACCGGGTCACTCTCCGGTCCGGTTTTTACAACATAGGTTGAAAGCCTACCTATAGCTAGGGTCTGGACCATTCCTCAAAAGAGGTTTTTGTAGGGCCCCTAATTCCCTATCTACCAAATTTTACCTTTCTAAAATACAGCATCTTTTAGTCATAACCAATGCCCCACTTGGTACAATACATGTGACCCGGAAAACAAATTCAAATCCTCTCAACAACTTGTTGATTGTTACTGATCTGATGTGGTCCAATATGATTATATTAGTGATAAGTAATAAGTTAAAAATAAAAGTAGAAGCGGAAAAAGCCTATGTTTTCAAACATTCACTGACACTTGATAGTGGAGACAATAAGTAATAGTTGAAACTGCAAACAATCTTGCGGCAGAAATATTTTGGTGATGGACAAAACACAACACAGCACAATCAAGTATGATAAAGGTAGGTATACACTAGTAGTTTGCTTTTGAAAGCAATTTAATTGCAGGCAGCTCACGGATAAGCGATTCAAACTCACATTGGTAATTATGGAAACAATCATCAGAAGATTCAACGGTCTCACCTTTTTGCTCTCCTGCCGATCTCTTTGACAGGTGGGATTCATTGAACATCTTCAATGCATCCTCCACAGCAGAAACAGCCTGTAGAGATTCTTGAAATTTGTGGAACTTCATTCTACTTTCCTCTGTTATCAACCTTTCTTGCAGTTCAGGGGGAAGGCACGCCAGACTCCTTCATCAATCAGAGAGAGAGAGAGAGCTATATCAATACAAATGTTCAATGCACGAAAATGAAGCTGGTTTCTCTTACTAACCCAATTACACCTCTGAGCACACCCCAGTTATATCCGATGTGTACTGATTCTATAAAACCAGCATTAAACCCTTTCTGTGCTGAAGATTCTTTTCCAGCTATAAGGCCATCACGATATCCCATCTAATAATTAACTAGTCAAGACAGAACAGCAACTACTTTCAGCTATATACGTCTAATAACTTGGATAGGATACATTATGGAACTGATCATGCCTCCTCTTCCACTCCCTTTCCAAATCAGATGCATCGTCTGCTTCTTCAAAAGGATCACCACATGATGGTCCGTCATCGACGTACCACAGGTCATCCTCATCGTTATCTGGAATCAGCAACAAAAACATTTATGAGAACTAGAACGACGAACTAGGTTTTGATGTGGGAAACCTGTCTCACACATTACACCCACAAGAAGCGATAAACTAGGTTTTTGTTAATTTTGAAGCGATAAACTAGATTTATGAGAACTAGACCGATAAACTACGTTTCAGTGATGGACAAAACCTATTTCTCATAAATATTTGCATTAATTTTGAAGCGGCAAACTTGTTTCCACACGTCTCCCACAATTTCTGACTTTTCACATTTATTTTTCTGACGATTCCTAAAAGCCAGAAGTTTTTCCAAAATTTCTGACAAGTGACATATGATGATTGTGATTGTGATTGTGATTGTGATTGTGATTGTGATTACAATGCCTTTACCCATAAGAGGACACAATTTCCATGAAGAACCAGACAAAGAAATTTTGGGAAGGTGGGATATCTTAAAAGAAATTTCAATGGTCTTGGAAATTTTTTGAACAAAATTGAAGCTTTTTAATTTTTTGGTAGTTGATTGAAGATATCCAAAGGTGAAAGGTAGTGTGAACACTTGGTAAAACAGTTCGGAAAAAATAACATTCAATAAAACAGTTGGAAACCAACTTTTGTTAAGAAATAAGAAATTCACAAGTCGACGATGGGAGGTCGAGTGGTTGAAACAAAAACTGTGTAAGGTTGGTGGTACAAAAGGATGTCCAAGTGATTAGATGAGACAATCACAATAGTTGGAGAGGCCAGAGGATCTCATGAAATAAACCCCACTTAGAATCTAATATCTCACACTGTACTGACCATCCAACCAAAAAACCCAAGGATAACCCTTTCTAGAACCATCAACAAGCTAGGAAAAATGAATGACTCGTAGCATTTAAATCTGTTACTACGTACTTGTTAACAAAATATTGATTTCACATTTTTTGCATTAATGAAAGTAATCAGTTTAATGCAAAAGATGACAGGTGTTAATGTCACCTGGACTGAAAGATGAATGGATTTCTACTTTGTCAATCTCAGCTGCTTTCCGATCCTGTTGTCTATTTGAATAAAGTACAAAGAAAGCTTAGAATTTTACTTATACTAAAGAAAAAGAGCAAAGAGTTCATTCTTGGTCAAGGTATTACAGCACCATAAAGACAAGTTCATTTACTGTCCACCGCTATTAGCGAACTAGAATTTAGAATATGTGATCTCGTGCTCATTGCAATATAAAAATAAAAATATTCACAAAGAAGTTTCCTGGACAAATGCAGTTATAAGATTGTATTGATCAATATCACTTGATGCTGAAAATGAAGTTAGTGGGAAAATTCTCGCATCCAAATAAATGCCATTAAAAAATCAGTGCATTTTATATAAAGTGATATACTACTATTTATTTAATCAAAAAGCAAGAACTGGGGGGTTGAATTTTTCACAAACAGACTGGGAAAAAACACACATCATATCCGCTGAAGACATCCTTGCATCACCTTACTGGCCTGTCAAAAGCAAGGAAAAGCATTGTTAGAGATTCCAATCAACGTCTATAGCAGATAGAAACGTAATTCATGTTAATACTTTATAGGCAATTCATTTTTTTCTAATACAGGTCTTTAGCAAATGACCTGATGTAGTACTCTAGTAGGATGATTACAGTAATGATAGCAACTTAGCAAGTATATATTTAGATATGCAAAATCAGAATTTAGACCATTGCTGCAAGTGTTTGAGTGAGGCGAAAAACGAGCTAGCTTTTTTTACGAAACGGGCTAGCTTTTTAATTTTTTAGGATATGCAGAGATTATAAGAGCATACTAATTGAAAACATAACCACGCACAGAAAAATGAAGCTCCCAATGATGCCCTAAAGACATAGGGGCAGAAAAATATTCAGATAAAAACATCCAGATGTTGAAACAAATAGAGGGGCATTAGGTACTTTAATTTTTTATATTTATATTTTAGCTGTAGAGAGCTACTGTGAGAGGAATGGATCTCGCAAGAAAGGAAACAAGTCCCCAAAATTCAGTTCATCAATTTTAAAATTTTGTTAAAGAATAATGAAAGTGTAATTGCTTTTGGTTTAATGCCATCACATAAATTGAAATTTTATAATGATACCCTGGAGTAGCGGCAGAGCCAAGAACTTGATACAGTGAGAGTAAAAAATCAACAACTCATGACATATTTAAAAATAAAAAAATAACTCAAATACAAAATTAGAAAATAGTCAAATAGTAGTTACTGTTTAGCCATTATTAAAAACTCATCCCATTAACACAAATAAGTAATCAAAATAACACATCAAAACAGTAAGCATATAAAATACAGTTAAACTTTTAAATTTTTGTAGTAAACATACACTCAAACTGTCAAATATTGTGATGTACATGGTTGAGAAGTTTTTCAGTCTGTACCCATCGTCTAGTAGCATAACAACTTATTCTGATGAAACTGATTTTGACAACTGTCCAATAAGAGAATGACTACTTTAGCTTTTTATTTTGCTTTAGTTATTCAAAACTACTATTACACACCCTTTTAGCTAGTTTCAAACTCAATTGGCCATTTCAGCCAAAATAATTACCAAACACTTCCAATTAATAAATTTTAGCAATTTCACCACTCACCAAAAAGGTACCTAAGTTTTTGTTTGGGTCATGATTAGAGGGTACAATACCCTTAATTCTACTGTCCTTTATGATTGTTGGGACCCTAATTCCAAAAGTAGGTTAAAAAGAAGCGAATAGAAAATGATATAGTCACAGATTCAAAGAGTTCATTACTCTCTTCTCTGAGGGAATCCTTAAGTAGGGGGCACCCATATCTGTTGCATGATGGCCTTATTCCAAAAGTAGGCAAAAAGATAGCCCCATGTAACAGTTATCCTGGTCTAGAGGTTAGCTAATCCCCGTTCATTCTCACAATTGACATTCCTCAAGCATTACATAATACATACATTGCAAAATGAACACTAACCACAACTTCAGCAACTAAAAACAACAATAAGAATCTCCATAAAAACAGTAAGTCAGTAATAAATAGATTTCCAGAATTAATTGCATTTACCTAATTTGAGCAAATGTTTGACAGAACTATTAGTATACTTCTCCTATTTACTATAGAAAATTATATCAAAATTTTCTATCTGCATTGCCCAGCTGAAAATCTAGTTATTTCATTATTACAATGCTTCTCGTATGCAAAGTGTCTGTGTAATTGGGCATATCACAATACAGCAGCCTCATGTACACAGTGAACTAAAAAAATTATACTGCGTAGTTTATAAGCGTAGCAGGGAAAAAGTAAAACTTTGGGGCCTAACTGATACGAGGTAAATCAGAAGCAGAGGATATCAAATTGTTTGCTTGTAATTGATACTGTTTTTTTATTGTGTGGGACGGAAAATTGATCATAATAGTGATATAGATTACTTGATTTGTGATTAAAAAAAATCTGAAAAGAAAACAGAATCTTCGCAATGTACAAGATATATGCAAAGGCTATGACGCTATGTATATAACATAAACAACACAACAACAACACCTGAGTCTTATTCCCAAAAGATTTTGGGGTCGGTTAACATGAATCGATCCATCATATCAGAAGCAAAGAGAGAAGAAAGATAGAAAAATAAAAAGATAAGGTAATATAAAATGGATAAGTTAAAGATAAACATATGATAAAAATAACATAAAAACATACGAAAGATAAAAGATAAAAAAACATAAGAATATAGAAAGATAAAGAACATAAAAGATAAAAGAAAACAAGAGACAGAAAGAGAGAAAAGAGATCAATCGTTCACATTTGCGCCCTTCACTGTGCTTTCTCCAAACCCATACTCTCAACTAACTCAAGGAGAAGCATATCATTTCTGAATTCTGATTCCTTTAATCCAAGTCTTTTTGGGTCTTCATCTCCTCTCCTCCCAGCCTTTGCTCCCCACCTCTCAACTCATCTAACAGGTGCATTAGTCGGTCTTCTACACACATTACTCGGTCTTCTACACACATGACCAAACCACCACAATCGACACTCTACCATCTTATCTTCTATATTCTATACGTGGTACTCCCACCTTTTATATGAACATGTCATTCCTCAAGCGCCCTTTTTCTTGTATGTCTACACATCCAACGCAACATACACATCTATGTCAAACTCATCTTTTGAATGTGACATTGTTTCACCGACAATCACCGTCCAACACTCTATGACATACATTAATGCATGCTTAATTGTTATCCGATAAAATTTACTCTTTCATCCACCATGCTCTAATTCTGTGAGACACATCTCCATCTAATTCAACATCCTTCAGAATTATAGAGTCCAAGTAACGGAACATATCACACACTGGCATCTCATTTCCATCAAAAGTAATCTCACATATGACCTTCATGTAAGAGAACCAACATTCCACGTCTCAAAGCGCAATCTAGCACCTTGCCTTCTATTTTTCACACTACATCGACAACCACCATGCTCTTGCATATTTAAAAACATCCCCGGGCATTGGAGTGCCTCTTCCGGTTGACAACGTAGCAACCTTAGCATTCTTATCACCACATTCAAGCTTATGAAGTGTAGCACGCTCTTGCATATTTGACATCACCCAAAGCGGATGGATGACACAGCGCTTACGGGCAACGACCTAGCTGTAGTAACATTCATATTTTGATTCTTGTCATATGATGTGACTAAGTAATACTATTGGCCGTCACGCGCCTACCACAATACTCTCCTCCCTTATCCTGGCTTTGAATAGACATGATACCAAAAATGATCTCATGGCAGAGTTTATATATATAACATACACAAATTTGAAAATTAGAGATATATGTAATCTTGTAGATTGGGATTCCGCGGATAATTGCTGAAATAGTAGTGTATGATTGATGGTCCGAACATAAAGATTGTCTCGAATAGACCCGAAATTGATTTTGACCAGAAACGTGGCTATGATAGAAATTCAGTGGGGGGGATTCTAGTTAAAAAGAAAAAATTAAAAGATTTAGTAAACAAATTCCGTTTTTCGTTTTCATATCTTTTCCCTAACAGCCAATACTTTGTTCCCTTTTCCCGGATCCCGCTCATTTCCAACCACTTCAAAAACAAATTACTCTTGAACGGAAGAAATATTTGAAGTATCAATCAAGTTATTTAACTAATGTCTATTTTATGTACTTGTAATAAGCTTAACATTGTGAACCAAAGTCATCAACTCTAGCTTCATAATCAAGCTTTTCTAACACATTATGGTCAAATGGTCAATGCTTGATATAGCAAATCCATTAAGTCTTTCTTGAGACATCGTTGATCGCATATAATTTTTGAGAATCTTCAATTTTGAAAAACTTCTTTCTGTGGTGGCCACAGTTACCAGTACTGTCAATAATATCCTATAAGCAATTGTTGTATTCAGATAGCAGCCCATCCAGATTCTAACCATTTTTATTAAACCTCGAAATTAGTTAAATTTATAAATGTAATTATAATTAAAAAAATTACCTAACAAAATGAACAGATTATAACACCAGGACTCAATAGATAAAAATCAACAATTAAGTGACTAACATGTAACAAATCAACTAATTATTTATCAACTATTCATAATCATTTATAAACATTAAACAGCTATGAATTAAATTAATTTATCAATTAATAAACTTATCACATAATCATATGTGAATATTAATCAAACAAATTAATAAAAGAAAATATTGAAAACTGTAATTCTGTATTTTGGAAAAAACAATGGCCGAATTGCAGAAGCTGAAGGTCGAAAGGTGTACCTGACCAGAACTCTTGAAGGCTTTCTGGCTTGGAGAGTTGAAGCTGGAGTTGTGTGCTGGTGGCCGATGTCGACGGCTGATTGGGTGAAGTCGAAGGCCGGAACTCTGGTCTCTGGAAGTCCTGGAATTAGAAGGCCGACCGGTGATCGCCGAAGTCGAAGGCGGAACCGGCGAATCGTAGAAAGCTGCCGCTGCGTCACCTGCGTGGAGACGGTGGTCGGTGGAGTGCGTCTGTGCGTGAGCAGTGAAGGGTGGAAAACAGGGCGGTCAGGATGGAGACGCCAAGGGCACGCTTACCAACCGAAATATTGGCACCTCCTTCGCGAATTCCTGGGCGCGCCCCATTTCTTTCCGAATTGGACTAAATTGACCTCTTTAATTTATCTCCTAACTCCGTATATGATTTCATGACGGCACCATTGACTTATCAGTTATCACTTATCAGTTATCACACGCTAGTCCGTGGATATTCTCAATTGAATGGTGATCAACCATCGACAAACAATTACTAATTTTTTTTTAAAATGTTAAGGGAGTGTTTGCGATTGCTTGTGCTTTTTAAAAGTGATTTTTTTAAGAGATTTTTTGGAAAAGTGATTTATAGTAAAAGTAGGTAGTGTTTGAGAATAGAAGTGATTGTGATTAAAATGTAAAAGTTGGAGTGTTTGATAAAAAAAGTGATTTTTGATGTAATAATTTATCAAAATACAAAAATACCCTTATAACAAAAATTGACAAATTGGAAAGGAAGAGGCGGAGATCTGTTCAACTAGCTCCTCTGAATCGTTCGTCTCCAATTTGCGAGTGGCTTTGTGCGGGCAGAGTTCTTACCTTTTAATTTGATGTAAAAGGCAATGAAAGATTTCTTGCAAATAGATACGAACTCGATCGTCTTCCTCCTCTGAATACATATAAATATATATTATAAATATATTTGTTTTAGACAAATTGTTCTTCGCTTGAGAGTTCTTCAAATGTTATTGAGCAGCCACTTGGTTTTCTTGTTTTCTTGGAAGTGACGCACCAGCAAGATGGAGGTCAGGAAGAGACGTCAGGAGCTGGTCGTTGCCAAAAGATAAGGGGTATTCTGGACTTTGGGAATTATATCTATCATAATAATCATCCCTAAAGTTGGAATAATTTACAAGAAAACCAAGAAGCAGTTAAAAGCTACCTTACCCCAGCTTCCAGCTTTTGGCTTTAAAGCACTTTTTTTAAGCCAAAGTTGGGGTTAGCAAACACTTATTTTGACTTTTTTTAATCTAAAAGCTCCAAAGTGCTTTTTTTAAGCAAACAAAAACACTCCCTAAGTCGCACAACTTTTGCACATATACTCTTATCTTTAGTTTCATAATTCATAAAATCATGTGTGTTAATTTACATGTGTTAAACATATCAAATTAAATATTTTTTATGATTTTTAATATGAAACGAATATTTCATGTGTTAAATTACAAAAAAAAAAATTCATGTGTATTTCTTCTAGTTTAAGGGTAGCTAATGTGCTTTTTACTAAAGTACTCTCTCTGTCCCAATATAAAAGGTACATATTCCTTTTTGAGCCGTCCCAATATAAAAAGCCGCATTTCCCTTTTTGACAAACAAAAACAGTGCAAAACAGTGTCCAAACAGTGTCAAACAGTGTTCCTCCTAAAAATGTTTGAAAACGCAAATGTGCTCGTTATATTGGGACGAGAAGAGAGTATTAATTAACAAGACGTTAGTTTATAAGACCAAATTCATTTAATTTGACCAAATTCAAGTATTATGAAGCATTAATTAATAATTATAATGGCAATAACAATTTGATTAGTTGGGCTGAGATTTTCTAGCCTGGTCTGATATGATCTGGTTCTCATCTGTATCAGTCTAGTCTGCTAAAGTCTGGTTTGATTTCAAATGGGTTGGTCAGGTAAATTTATGTTCTATGTTTATCATACAACTATCAAAGTCTGGTTTGGTTTGATATGGACAGGGGCGGACCTATGGTATAATGAGGGTAAGCATTGGCTTCACCTCAAAAAGTGCTACTAGCCTAGGTGGTAGTAGCCTAAAAAATAAAATCCTCATTAGGCATCAGGTCAGGAGTCCTAATCCCCCATTAGGCTACACTCGATTTTTTTTATACTTCTCTGCAACTCAAGTTATTCAATAGCCATTTTTATTACACGGGCCGTGCGTATGGGCAATGGGCTTTTAATTTTCTTTTCCCTTTTAAACTGGGCCGTATGTACTTAAAATTTCACACTTTTGCAATTAAAATTTAAAAACACATCCATTCAAAATCCCTAATCTAAAAAAAACTACGTATCTTATGTTAGCCAACAGCAACACAAGGATGTCCCTCCGGCGATTCACTCGGTTCTCTCAAATCTGCCTTGGATTTATTTGAGGTTTATTTTTTTAATATTAAAGCTTCAATAGTTAATAATTATTATTATCAACTTATCATTGTTCGAATCATTTATTACTAACAATCAATCCATTATTTGTGTAAAAAATTGCAGAGCAATAGTAGAGGACCTCTCACTCAAGGTTTTATTCTACACTCTAATTCTAAATTATTAAAGCATTATGGCAGTTTATTATTATAATTGTATTCTTTAATCATCATTTCTTCAACGTACTTCACATTCAATGATTAATGAATTAATTGTATAGACAACTAGTGTAGTTTTACTTTCCTATGTTATTAATTTTATATTTGTAACTAGGGAAAAATAAAAATAATTAATTTTATTACTTTTCTATTTGTATAGATACAATGTCCATGTATAATTTTGTCACCGTTACAAGACCACGTCGTGATGTAATTCATAATGAAGCTAGTGGGTCTCATACTTTTAAACAACCTCGGATTGGGGGGTCGTGTAAGCGATACGACTTGCTTCGTGAAACACATGCAGCTAAAGTTAAAGAGGGAATTGAAAAGGGTGAAATTCAGACAGGGCGAGGCATGAACCTAGGAATTGGTTTGAAGCGAAGTGGTGAAACTCGTTGGGGTTCACATTATGGCAGTCTGATTAGTTTAGTTCAAATGTATTCCTCGGTGATTGATGTTCTTGAAGTTATCAAAGAAGATGGGGTGACTTCAGATCAAAAGGGTGAGGCTATGCGACATTTAGACTCTATACAAACTTTTGATTTTGCATTCTTTTTGCATTTGATGAAGACTGTCTTGGGAATTACGAATGAACTATCTCAAGCATTGCAAAGAAAGGATCAAGATATCCTTAATGCGATGCAATTGGTATCTATTGCGAAGGAACGCTTGCAAGATATGAGAGATAATGGATGGGATCCATTATTAGAGGAAGTGTATGTGTTTTGCAGAGTTCATGATCTTGACATTCCTAATATGGAAGACAAATTTATACCAAAAGGCAGGTCGCGACGCAAAGCTAAGGATATCAAATATTGGGAGCATTATCGGTATGACTTGTTTTATACAATTGTGGATATGCAACTTCAAGAGCTTAATTACCGTTTTAGTGAGTCCAACACTAAGTTGCTTCTTTGTTTGAGGTGTTTGAGTCCATACAAGTCCTTTGAAGCATTTGACAAGCTCAAGTTGATTGAATTTGCTACATTTTACTCAAGTGATTTCTCGAGCATGGAGTTGGTAGTTCTTGAAAATCAGTTGGAGACTTATATTATTGATATGCAAAGTAATGATGAATTTTCAGAGTTGAAAGGAATTGCTTGCCTCGCAGAGATGTTGGTGAAGACGGGGAAACATCGTGTTTATCAGTTAGTTTATTTGCTTCTGAAGTTAGCACTGACATTACCTGTTGCTACAGCCAAGGTTGAAAGAGCTTTTTCTGCGATGAAAATTGTGAAAACCGAGTTGCGAAATCGGATGGGAGATGATTGGATGAATGATTGTTTAGTTCCTTATATAGAAAGTGATGTGTTTGATGGCATTGACGATGAGTTAATTATTCAACACTTTCAAAATATGCAAGCACGTCGAGGACAACTATAGAGGTACGTTTTCTTTTACTATATCTATGTATATTTATTTAGTCTTTTTTTTATTCTCATGTAGTATATAATTAGTGTTATATATGTGCATACACTGAGCTCCGATGCCTAGGTCCTCCACTGGATATGGACCCTATCTGGTTTGGTCCTGGTTCTGGTCCCGGACTGATCAGTCCCGGTTTTTGGGTATGGAGGCCGGAAGTCCGGAACCGACCAAAAAAATATGGGTCCCGGTCCTAGGTACATGGCCGGTCCCGGGCCAGTTCTGGCGATTTTGTTTAAATAAATTTATTGATAATATAAATAAAAAATATTTCATTTTTTGTCGCATACAATGTCCGGTAATATTTATCTACCCCACTATCTTTATCTCCATTTTCCTTTTTGATCTGTTTCATTGTGTTTGAGTCGCATACAACGTTCAATAATATTTAGACGGTCATATATTGTAGTACATATACTTTTTTAGTCATATTTTTATTGAATATTGTCTTTATTCTATTACATATAACTATGATTAAACTAGCTTTAGACCCATATTTAACTTAAAACAGACCAAATCAGACAAGACTAGACTTCAATAATTATATTATATTATACTGACTTAGACAAATTAGAAAAAATCGATCAAATTAAAAACATCCTTATTGATATTATAAATAGAATAAATTTCACATAAAATGTTTGATTTGATGTATATATATTTTGTAAAAATTCAGAGTATAAATGAAAAATGTTATAACATTTCATAAAAATAGCGATTGTTTACGTGGCTGAAATGTATTGGATAATGAATGAATTTTCCAAAAGTTTATGGCAGTGCGTGTGAACTCGTTTTATATTAGGCGGAGTTTTAGCTTGCATCCCTTTTCATTTTCGTTAAAACTAAATAAGGTTAAAATAGTCCTAATAGGGTTACATTCAATAAAACTAACGGCGCGCCAAGCAATGCCCGAAATATTTTACAGTTTTCCATTGAGTTTTTTTAGAAGAATATTACTAAAAATAAAACTTATTTACATAAATATGATTATTCATTACTACAATCTAGTGTTGTGGCAACTTAAGTTCAAAACTTGAACATGAATTACTATGATTTCATTATTATTCTAGTAATTAATCATATTTTTGTAAATCATCTTTATTTTGGTCATATTTATGTAATTATTTCTTTTCCATTTCTGTTTTTCTTTGTCCAATTTTCTATTTTCATTTTTCATTTTTTCTATCTCCATTTTTCTATTTTCATTTTTTAGTTTTCCATTTTCAAATCTGAAAACATGTGCATCAAATTTTTTCACTCGATTCTGTGACTAACTAAAAGACCAATAGTATGGTACCAATCTGGAACTGAACCTAGTACAATCCAAGTAGGGTACCATGTCCCACGTATAGGAAAGTCGAGACCAGAACCGGCCGGTCCCGGTCGATCTCAATGGATTGTTTGACGAATTCTTTTCTCATTTCCCTATTGTTTGACAACTCGACGGATCTGATCAGGTATCGCCTGATTGTGGATCGAACCGGAGAGGATCGTCAGGTCATCAACCGAACTGGACAGGGGCCGTTAGGTCGTGGAACAGACCAGACAGGGACCATCAGGTCATGGACCAGACAGGGGCCGTCGGGTCATGGACTGGACCGGGACAACCGGGTCATCGACTGGACCGGACCAGGATTGCTCAGCCGTCGACCGGATTGGACAGGGCCCGCCGGGTCATTGACCGGACTAGTTAGGGATCGTCGGGTCATTGACCGAACTAGATTGGAACTGACACCGGAGTGGCGGAGTGGGACCGGATCCGCCACTAGGCATAAGTATGCAAATTCATTGCAGCGGTACTGCAGCATCCGATCCGTGTTTTTCTAAATTTGGAAAACTAGTAAAAGTCACTTCTCCTATTCAATAAGAAAAATAGAGACATATCTCATGTTTTTTGTTTTGGAAAACGATTTGGTAAACATGTTTTTTGTTTTCCTTTTTTCATTTTTCTCAAAATCTGAAAAATATCTATGTTAGTAAAGATGTCCTTACTTTTCCAACAATGGACAAATCTGTTCTAGGGAAATAGTAATTGATTTGAGTTTGATTAACAAATGCATACGTTAAAAGTAGTGCTTAAAAGGTGTTTTTGCAACAATACGTGAGCAATATGGAAAATGCATTCCAAACGTTTGTTGATTTCTTTGTTGCCATAAACCTGATGTGTATATGCCTCGATCACTAATTAACCTCAATTGGTTCTTGATTTTTTTATGTTGCTGGTCTCTGGTCTGTTTAACAACATCTTTGTTTCTTAAAACTCGAACCCTGCAAAAAAAAAGAATTACTACTTGTTTTAGAATGTGTCATGCGTCATGTGTGGTTAATGTTTTGAAGAATGTAACAAAGAATATAATAATTGATCTGTTGATTTAATGCTCATCAAAACTATGTGTAAGAAAGTATAAACATGCCACTTGCTCTGAACATTTATTCTGGAGATCAGATTGAAGTATTTCATACGGAGTACGTAGCAGTGATTTATACTGGTAAAAAAGTAATTGTGTTGATCTGTTGATTTAATGCTCATCAAAACTATGCTCCTTATAATAATGTCAATGTTCTTTAAATCTGTCTAGTGCTACAGTTCACTGCATGACAAAAACAGATATTAGAGGGATTCCAGAGGAACTCAATATTTTGTAGTGCGAAAAAGAAGAAGTTACTGGGCATTCGTGAAGGAAGTTTTGCGAGTTGCTGAAGGAAGTTACCGGAACAGTTTTCATCTCTCAATTACGAATATCATGTGTTGTACACGTGTTAACAGAATAATTTTTATTAACCGTACCAATTGATCGATGCCATAATTACTTATGTGGGTGCCGGGTGCCCAATTAATTCTAGGCGGGAACAATTTTGTTCTCACGATTCGCTTTATATATATACTAGTTTTTTACATGCGTAAATGCACAATATTATTTATGCAAAATACATTTTTCTAATATTTAATCGGGGTGGGAGTAAACTATTCAAAGAACATCTAATTTGAAGTCTAAAACATAGGCCGTTCATAAGATAATTAGTCTTGTTACTATTTACTAATTTATTCAAAGTGACTTTATCTGTGGCATCATCCTAAATTAACTATTAAATACGAAGTGCTAGCAAAGATGGTTATGTTGCAATGAAATTAGACATGAGCAAAGCATATGATAGAGTCAGCTGGAGCTTTCTGGAGGCTGTGTTAACGGCGCTTGGCTTTGACTGTCGGTGGACGCATCTGGTTATGGGGTGTGTGTCGACAGTTAAATATTTTATTCAATTTGATAAGGATTCCCTGGGTCCTACCCTCCCTGAAAGGGGTCTTCGTCAGGGAGACCCCCTTTCCCCCTAGCTTTTTATCTTGGTTACGTTACAGAGGGTCTGAGCTCGCTGATTCGAAGAGCAGAGGCTAAATGGGAGGTTCATGGAGTGGCGGTGTGCCATGGTGCACCAAGAGTCTCCCATCTTTTATTCGCAGATGATTGCTTTCTTTTCTTTAAAGCTAATTATACCGAATGTTCGGTGATTAAAAAAAATTGTAGGATTATGAGAAGGCTTCTGGACAGGTTATAAATTATACTAAATCTTCTTTGACTTCCAGTCAGAATGTGGAGGAGGCTACTCGTGCTTTTTGCTGTCAGTTTTTCGACATACCCCGGGAGAGTGGTCAGAGTCGCTATTTGGGTTTGCCAACGCTTGTGGGGAGAAATAAATCAACCATCCTGGGTTACCTGAGGGACCGTATTGTGAGTAGAATAAAGAATTGGAATAATAAATTTCTCTCCAGAGCAGGGAGGGCGGTTCTTATTCGAAGTGTATTACAGGCGCTACCTAACTATGCGATGAATGTGTTCTTATTGTCTAAAGATTTATGTGACGAGATCGAAAAGCTGATGAATGACTTCTGGTGGAAAGGAAATAAATTTGACCGAAGGGGGATTCGATGGCGTAGGTGGGAGCTCCTATGTCGACCAAAAAGTGAAGGGGGCTTGGGGTTTCGCAGGATCAGGGAATTCAATTTGGCAATGCTAGCTAAACAAGGGTGGCAGCTAATCACCGAGCCGGGAAGTTTAATGAGCGGAGTGCTGAAAGCGAGGTATTTCCCAAACACAGACTTTTTAAATGCTAAATTGGGGAATAATACTTTTGTTTGGAGAAGCTTCTTTGAGACTCAAGAAATTTTGAGGAATAATTCTCGTAGACGTGTGGGCCATGGCAGAGATGTGCAGGTTTGGGCAGACGCCTGGCTTCCGGGCCAGGGAACGGGTCAGGTCCAGTCAGCTAAACCCCCTGGAATCCGAGATATGAATGTGGCAGCTCTGAGGAACTATACAGGGAAGGAATGGAATAGAGAGAGGATCTGCTCTATATTTGAAGCGGTGGATAGAGATTTAATACTGAGTATACCGATCAGTAAAGTGGATAAAGAAGATGGTCACTGGTGGACAGGGGAGAAAAATGGGAATTTTTCTGTTAAAAGTTGTTACAGGAAACTCACCTATATAGCCCCTTCTGGAGAAGCTGACAGCTGGGCCAAATTGTGGGCATTAGAGGTACCCCTAAATTTAAATACTTTATTTGGCAGGTACTGGACGGAACGCTCCCCGCGGTGGACAATCTGCGGAAGAGAGGTGTGCAGATTAGTGAAAACTGCCAACTCTGTAATGGAGGTGTTGAAAGCCTCGATCATACCTTCTGGGAGTGCGGTTATGCGCAGGAGGTATGGCAGCAAACGGGGGTGATTCAGGCTAGTGGAGTGTCTCACGTGTAGGGTTGGATTAAATATCAACTCATAAATGCTAACAATGATCAAAAGGGAAAATTTGTGCCTCTTCTTTGGGGTATATGGAAGCGGCGTAATGCTCTTATTTGAAAAAACGAGTGGCAAAGCTCGGCAGGAGTCATCAGTAGTGCTTTGAGTATGATAAACAACTGGAAGGTGGCTCAAAGGTCAGGGGACAGGTCAAAGATCAAGCCCGACAATGGACAAACAAAGGTTTGGCGTAGACCGGGGAGGGATTTTATTAAAATTAATGTTGATGCTGCTGTTGATCCAGGTGGTGATAAAAGGGCCTGAGGTTGGGTGGCGAGAACCGAACAAGGGGATTTTATCAGGGTGGGAGGAGTATCTGTCAGAGTAGGATGGTCTCCGGCGGAAACAGAAGCGATGGAGGGATGCTTTGCAGGAGGCGATCACAGCTGGCTGGCAGAATGTGGACTTTGAGACAGATGCGCTCTAAGTTGTTCAGGGTGTTCGACAAGAGGGAGGTTCCTCTTATCTAGATCTTATTTTGGATGATATTAGAGAAATTTTGAGAGCAAAGAACACTTATAAAGTTTCTTTTTGTAAACGATCTGCGAATTGTGTAGCTCATGCAATTGCTAGTGCGCATGTTGCTCTCTCAGATCATAGGAGTACCTTTCATATAGCTCCGGATTATATTGTAAGCCAGCTGGCAAACGATCTTATTAATTAATACTAGTTGGGAGTTGATGATAAAAAAATTTAATATATACGAAGTATTACAAGCAAACGAACCCTCAAATTTAGCTAATAAAATGGATTCCTTCTCAAAGAATTTTCGTCCATGAATGTGACCTGGTGTCTCTTCTGATCGAAAACCAGCACAACATATTTATAAAAATAACAATAATTCTATGTAGTGTACAAGCTGCTCATTACAATTTACATACAAGCAAAAATGTCAAACAAAAAGGGTTGAAACGACTAAACGACTACATGGTTGGTTTTATGGTACCCACAAAACATTCAAATATCACACGTCTTTTTTTTTTTGTCTTTTCTGATAAAATTGAAATAATCATGATGATGATAGTAATATTAATATTAATAATAATAAGATTAATGATGATGATGATATATAACATTAATACTAACAATAACAATAATAATAATAATATATAGTTTATTAATAATGTAAACATTTATGTTAATAATATAGTTTAATAATGTTATTATTTTTCAGATATTAGTAGCAAGAACTTATAGTTTTATATTGGGAGAAGGACCAAAAGTGACACTAACGTTTTTAATGAAGCTCAGATATGACATTCAGATTTTTGGTGGATCAAATAAACACAATTTAAACCTTTTACCCTCATTTCTAACCACCCACTAACATTCCCGTCAAAACTACCGTTACTCCTTTATGAAATCTCTTCCCTGCGTTAAAACACCACAAGCCCCTTTGCCTCGTTCTTTCTCTCCCTCTTCACTGCTCTGTTCTGTTTCATTTCACGCAGGTCGTAGTTGTTCTGATTCGTCTCCGGAAGTTTCAGTCAGTCTTCTACTGCGAGCTGTGGTGTTGAGCGGCGGTGACGAATCTGATTCGACGACTCCGACTGTTCTTCTTCCTCCTCGCGAAGACAGGCCTAGGGTTCTATTTTCTTTCTGATGCCTTTGTAGCCAGGCAGCGTGAAGGTCAATTTTTTTTAACAAACAAATAATCACCTATATATATATATATTTAATCTTCAAAGGTTGCATGATTGATAAATATGTCTACATCGTACACACTTACACTTCAGGATTTATTTTCGACTCCAAATCTGAAGATAAGAAAATTACAGAGGTCTAATCCGGACACAGAATACAAGCAAAAAGGATTCATTGAACGGAAAAGAAAAGAACTCATAGCTAATCATGTCTCCATTAACTGAGGCTTAGATTTTTTTCTTTCCCCCCTTACTGCTTCTCTTCTTTAGTATACCTGAATGGATAAGTTATGTCGATATATGTATATATATGGTACTCTGTATATAGGGTTGCGCTCGTAGGAACCCGAACTTGAAATGGCGGCATGGTTTATCATAAGGTTGTTGGAGCTGGAGTCGGAATCCGACATGTGGTGTTGTTTGGGCGGCGCCGGAGAGGAAACATCGTACTGTTGGCTTGGGAAAACGAAGGCAGCAGGTGGTTCTTCCTAGGGGTGGGCGTGGGTGGTTAACCGTGTTTTGGTTAACCAACTTTCCGGTTAACCGAGAAACCGGTTACTTCGATTAACCGAGTATCGGTTAACCAATGCTTCGGTTAACCGAGTATCGGTTAACCAAAACTTTGGTTAACCACAAACCGGTTAACCAAAAACCATAAAACCAAAACTGAAAATTATTTTTAAACATCTACGATTCTACGGTAATTTTTAAAAGGAAGAAAAATAAGGGCGGATTGCTTTGCAGAATGATGACCGATGCATGATGAAGGGACTGCCGAGCAATAGCCTCTTCTGAATAATAGGGTGAATAAAATATAATAGTAATGTATTAATAATAAATAAATAACTTATACTACGGGTAACGGGTATCTAATAAATAATACTCCCTAATTTTACTTTTTTTCTTCCCGTTTCTTCTTTTCCGCAGTTTCCCCTTCCTCGACTCTGCGCTCCCCTTTTCTTCTCCTTCCATTCCCCGTTTTTTACTCCGTAGTTCACTCTCATAGCAAAAGTGGAATCCCAATATATTAACAGAGTGAAACCAATACTCCATCACCAAAGAGGGGCATACGCCTTCAATCAAATATTGTATGTGAGAAAAGGAGGGATGAAACACCTGGATATGGAGCAGAAGAGATCGACCGCCTAGATTAAATCAGATCGGCGGCTCTGGAGAAGATGGAAGAAGAAAGCCAGAAAGGCATCGTTTTCTCTGGACTGATCGAGCGGCTAGCGTAACTGAATAGATAACTTCGGTAAACCGGTGCTAATCTATTTTAAAATGGTTAACCGACCGTGAAATATGTTTTTAATTAATCAGTTAACCGTACCGTGAATTTTATAAAAAACGGTACGGTTAATTGAAAAAAGTAATGGTTATTCGGTTTTTTTACACGGTTAGACGGTTATGGTTTTTTTTGCCCATCCCTAGTTCTTCCCATTCCCAAAGGGAAAACGAAGTCTGTGAA